CTAGGTGGGGAAGCATGAATCACTTGAGTTACATTGCTTGGGTCAAATCCCATCCCTGATATTGATGTTGTCAAGACGAGTCTTATGTTTGGATTCTCTTTTTTTGAATTCCTCTATTGTAGTTGCTACAACATGGTCATCTTGCCCTGAACAAATTGCACTATAGAGTGATTTGTGAATGTTTGAAGGACCAAACAGACTATTTAGGTACATCAATGCTTCACTCATGTAGTAAATAGGGATAAATAGCAATGTTACAGGAAAATCTTCCCTCTTTTCAAAAAGGTCATCACACACTTTGTGCACCATTTTTTCATACTCATTCAACACATCAATACCAGGTTCCTTTTTGAACTTGCGCAAGAATATATTGGGTCTGTCTGGTGTATGTTCGATTATTTTAAAGTTATCGAGACCTAGCTGTTTTGGGATTGTCTTCTTCTGTTCTGCCGTCAAAATGCCACTTAATCCTATCAGTGGCAGATTTGGGAAGAATGATTTTAATCCTCTCAGTTTCTTGAAAGCTGTGCGGAACTCTTCACCCCTAAAACAAGATGTTTTCAGTGAAGTGTAAGTAACCCTTAAATAAGCTTACAGACTACAGCCTAAGTTTGTGAATATACCTGAACTAACATAAGATATTGCAATTATTGTAACTGGGACTGAATTACGGGAGGACAGACAGATGGACTGACGGATCATCTAAACGCTAGACTATAGGCAACCGGATCTTTCAAAAACATTCAACATTTTCAATTCCATTCTAAGGGTTCATGCTTCCTGGTCCCCCTACATACATATACATGCATGCCTGATTTTTCAGACACAAATATACAAAGTATGTAGTATTATCTGCTTGCAGCAGGGGTATCATTGGATGCCATCCAACTCATTGTTGCCAGGATTTGAACACATGACACTGGAATGTCTAGCATACATGCTAGTGATGGGGATATTTGTCAGTTTTTGTTTCACAAAATACAAAATACACACATTATTCTTGATATACAGAGGACAATGACAATAATGATCATATTGTTTGTCTTAAAAATACTTAAAAAAACTTACTTACCATTTATCAATAATGTGGCATTCATCTACAACGACTGCTACAACTGATGATGTAAATTTCTCATCTGACATTAGATCTTTACCAATAGACGTATTGAAAAGAGCCTCTGGGTGGCACAGAACTATTGAATATTCACCATTCTTTACTTTACTGCGCTGCACAGTCAGATTCGGCAACATCTGTTGTGTCATCCACTTTAGCCACAATATTCAACCTACAGGCACTGATTCTCCTAGACGTCAGACTTTGTACTTGGTCTTTTTGGATAATATTCAGAGGAGATATAACCAACACCACAGGATATGTCTTCGGCTTCTGACTGGGGGGATTGGTGGGGGGGGTTGCTTGCAAAGAAGTTGTGGCAAAAAATGAAAATTTTCACTTTTCCCATAGCCGGCAGGTAAACTAACAAGTAAATCGCCTCTACTCTCCAACAAATACTCAAAACATTCCTTTTGTTTCTCTTTTAGGACGAAGCTCTTGTCGTAACTTGCCAGAATTTCCTCTATTCTATTCTTGCATCTCTGAGCTAAATAACCACATTTATATTACTACGCTGAACATTACGCTTTAAAATATAGTGCAGTGCAGTAATATTTTCACGCCTTACTACTTGTTAAAAGTCGTTTCAAAAGTAATATAGCCAAGAAAATATTTTAACATGAAAACAAAAGTCTCTAAAGATAAAATTATCACGTTTTGAGACCAAATTAGGTTTTACAAGAATCTTGTAAGTGATTGAAAAGGAACGACAACTCTGGGTAGAGATTGCGATGGAGTGTGACGTGCTTGTGACCTCATAGTATGATACGACGTTTCATGCGTGCTAGTTTCCCCAATGGACGTCTACTTCCGGACGAATTTTTTTAAATGCAAGGTGTAGAAAGGGGAAGCAACTCTGTTTACGCACGCATGTGTTACCATTAAAGAGCTTCGCTAGGGCGCCTTCGGCGCCCGAGTGCTACGCTCTTATAAGTAGAATTGCAATGGATTGTACTTTAGTCAAATACGGAGGGGTCAGCAGGAAATAAATATATATTTAAATTCTTCATACAGCCAATTAATTGTACATTATGGTCCGTTTATGTTGCGTGCCTGTGATTGTTATCCGGCTCTACCTTTAAATCTAGGACTCGTTTCATGTAGAACCGAGATGACAAGGATAGTTCACACAAGTTCACCTGTCCTTCGTCATCTGTCATCAACAAACACGAGTGCAAAAACGTACCTTAACTTGAATTGAATATTGATATCGTTTGTGTAATGCTTTCTACGTTTTGCCTGTGAATATTTTTGATTGTATAATTTAGTTAATAATCCACTATAAAGTACCACTGAGTTTTTTTCCTTTTCGCTTCGGTGCGCTTCCATCTTTTCTTATTGTGGGTTGGCGACTTTTCGAGGGCGACAAAGCGAATGACGAAATGTCCTGCGTGAGCAATTATACTATAGGACGATAGTGCCTATTGGAGGGCTTGAACGTCACATGGTCGACACCTATCGTCAGGTCCTGTATCATGATGGAAGCTAAACAGGACTACAGAGAGAAGAAAACATTATTTGTTTTCCAGTATGGAACAACAGATCCATGTCGCTCCCCTTTAAGTCTCCCCTGAGTCAAATAACTAATTAACATGAGGTGCTTTAACAAAGTTGATTTTTGGGAGAGTGGTTAACAGTAAGACAACTAATTAACGTTGATATATGAACACAACAACTAGCCGTTGCGTCAAAATGTTGTAATAGATCATTTTTAGTAACAAAACGCCGTATTGTTGAAACAGATCACAGACAGATAATTGCATTAGCGGATTCAAAAAATGACAAATTATAGCGTGGTGCTGTGTCGGCGCCGGACTGTCAACATTGTAAACAATGCTGTGGTTGTAGAAACCAGTGTCTGTCCTCGATATAGAAACAATTGTCTACGCAACAAATACGACCTACTCAATTACAATATTTTCCAGGCAGTTGAGCTGTTTAACTTTGTTCATTAGACGGATAAAATGGTATCAATATTATGCATTTGCTCACACGTTTATTTAATTCAAAATAATGGACTGACATTCATGCAATCTCGGAGATCAACCAAAATGAGCTGTTATAATTGGCAATATGCATGTATGTCCGCTGCTCAAATTACAAGTAACTTTTTATTTTATTTTATAATTTTGTAATTTTATCAATAACAGATAAATCTATAGAAAAATTGTTTGACCTTTTTATACAACGTGACCGTCAATGCTGTTTTTTATGATGCAATATTCACGTCAAAGTCTACATGGTACATAACTTAATTCATACAGAAAAAAGGAGGTCAACGTTGTCCCCCCTGTTAAACACAATGTTTATATATTAAACAACAACACTAATATGATTTGAACGGTTTTTTACATCCTAGAATATTCAAAACATAATCGGTACATACAAAATATATATCATTGAAGTGTCTATGATATATAGGTACAGCGCCATGTAGTTACAGTGATGGAATGTACTGACTATGACCTTGATCAACCACCATAGTCATATACACTGTACTGACTATGACCTTGATCAACCACCATAGCCATATAAACTGTGCTGACTATGACCTTTATCAACCACCATAGCTATATACACTGTACTGACTATGACCTTGATCAACCACCATAGCCATATACACTTTACTGACTATGACCTTGATCAACCACCATATCTATATACACTGAACTGACTATGACATTGATCAACCACCATAGCCATATACACCGTACTGACTTTGACCTTGATCAACCACCATAGCCATAAAAACTGTACTGACTATGTCCTTGATCAACCACCATAGCCATATAAACTGTGCTAACTATGACCTTGATCAACCACCATAGCCATATACACCGTACTGACTTTGACCTTGATCAACCACCATAGCCATATAAACTTTGCTGGCTATGACCTTGATCAAACACCATAGCCATATAAACTGTGCTGACTATGACCTTGATCAACCACAATAGCCATATAAACTGTACTGACTATGACCTTGATAAACCACCATAGCCATATACACTGTACTGACTATGACCTTGATCAACCACCATAGCTATATACACTTACTGACTATGACCTTGATCAACCACCATAGCTATATAATCTGTACTTACTATGACCTTGATCAACCACCATAGCTATTTACACTGTACTTACTATGACCTTCCTCAGTAGATGAAAGGGTTCGATAAGACTCTATCTACAAATGGTATATAATTACATGCAATTAAGTTCATTTACCAAGTTTGTTGCGTCTCTGGAGAAGGCGATACTCCCTAATGTGTAAAAACACAGATTGTTCCATTTTGAGAAATTTCATAATGAAATTCCATGATGAATTCCATGAACTACAATAATGTACTACTTCTATAACGAACTGGCGGCATTATCAAAACTCATCACGCTTATTCCATTTATCAATTGTGTATTAAAGTGAACGGTGGAAATAATAACTGGCCTGAAGTTTCATGTTGTACACGATCTTTATTCCTTTGTTATTTCCGTATTGTCATCAAGAACAACAACTAGTTTTTTTCTCTGTAATACTTAACTATAGCTGTAACTAATTCTCAGGTCCCTGTGATATACAGTATGGACGTGACATCGAGGGAAGTGCGACCAATCTGTGTCCTCTATTTATTATATGATTGCTCACTCAAGAGGAATAAAGCCGTGTTAAAACAATTAAGTACACATGTGCAAAATGTCAATAAATGCAATTATGGTCTAAGTTACATATAACAATTAAAAATCGTTCTTTAATTCAACTTTCCTATGAAAACCTTGAATATCAAAACTGTGAAACAGGTATAATTTGGTAAAAACAAAATATGAAATTGAAAACATGGAACGATTTTTATCAAATTTTATTTATATTTTTGTTTGTTTGTTTCAGATACGTCGCCATTATTCACCCTATCAAAGCTCATATCGTGTGTAACAAGCGTCGGATCGTTGTGATTTTGGGATGTATATGGCCGTGCGCATGGGCAGCGGGACTCCCTACCCTGATATTTAACGAGGTCAGACAAGGGCATCCTCACATACCTGTTCTGTACTGTATGATGGTTTTCCCTGATAACCACATATTCTACTTCAAAATCTTTAAATACATCGAGTCGGTGCTATTTTATTTCCTTCCCTTGTTGATACAGATAGTCTTATACGCTTTTATCACGAAACACCTCTTCCTGGGATCAGACAGGCTCCATCGCAGAGTAACAGTGCGCCAGGTGAATGGGTCCTCCTTGGAGCGATTCTCGGAGGCGCTTCAAGCTCGCAGGGGCGTGGTTAAAATGCTGATGATGAGTGTCATTGTATATTTCATAAGTTACTCACCGAATCAGATCTTACTTATCTGTAACACGATTTCCCCAACCACGTTCCACGAAAACTTCTCTTTTCAAGTGTTTACAATGATCGTAGCTAATTTGAATTCCGCGGCAAATCCAGTGCTGTACAGTATATTTAGTCAGAACTTTAGACAGTGTTTTAGATACATGATGTGTGCATCGTGTGTGAGACGACCGAAGCCCAAACCCGCGCGACAAATGACACTAACATCAAACGGATCGAGACTTTGGAGACACACAAGTATGGCCTCCGCCGCGTCCACGGAAGTGTAGGCCTCTAGAGATGCTGGCTTGTATATTGTACGAGATCAGAGTGTTGCGGAACGAAAGCTAAAAGCCTCGGGACGCTGTTTGACATATCTTCTTTTTGTTTCCCTTTATGTTGATGAAGGAACTAATAAATGTTGAAATTCTGTTTCTTCAGGTCATCAAACTAGTCATTTCGGATGAAAACAAATGTAAACAAAATGTTCAAAGTTTACATATATTCTGCTTTATTTGTAGCAACGTAAGGTACAGTATGATGTAAAATATTTTCGGACAAGGTAGCGGGGTGTTTACATTCATTACGACAAATAATTCAACTGTCAAACATAATAAATGCAATTCAGAAATTGAAATGAATAATGAAAACCTACTAAGTGTTTTGTGAGATGTCATTTCAGTCGAATGACACTCAATAATCTCCGAGGAATAGATCGGCACAGGTACTTCACATAGTCTGGAGTGATCTCTACCCAGATACCCTCACGATCATCTCTACTAGCGACCATCCCAACACGTTGCTGTACCTTTCTCTTGACTAGTAACCACATGTTTTTTTATTATATTAATATCTGGGCTCTGGGCTGGCCAGCTCATTGTAGTACTCCGTTTCTATGAATGAATTCATTGGTAGAACGTGCATGGAATTGTCGTCCTGAAATATATAATGCCCAGGGGGGAAATGGCGAGCTAAGACTAGCCACAGATTTTCATCATGTTATGCATCCCCAGATCATGACTTGGTAACATGGTTTACAACGACGTGGCGCCACTAAATCTCGCCAAACATACACACGGGAATCATGTCCTATCATTATTTAAGAGAGTATCACCTTGTTCCATAAACTACCCACTGTCAGTCCTCTCTCTTTATGGCACCATGACAAGCTTTTTTGCGATTTATCTCCCTTACAGCCAGTTTCTTCCTTGCCACTCGTCTGGTGTAGCCATGTTTGTGTAGATGGAACTGTAAGGTACGTTTAGCTAACGGACACTCTCTGTTTGCATTAAATTTGTTTGCAATTTCAACCAAAGTGTCCCTTCTGTTACCTTTAATTAGCCGCTTCAACTTTCTGAAGACCCTCGCTGTTAAATTCGTTTTTTCAGACTCCCGATTGTTGATTTGGGTAATCTTACAGTAACTTCCGAGCTATTTCTTTAACCTCAGAGCTCAACTCGTTACTTTTTCGGCCCATCTTAGTTTAGTTGTCAAGATTTGTAAACAAAGCAGACGACAACAAAAGCACGTGATATTTCAACTGTCACGTGGCATCATTAGTCAATAACTTCTTAAAAACACCGACGTCTTTTCATTTGTGAATGTTACGCGAAACGTAAACATTCCGCCATCTTGTCCGAATATGTATTGCATCACACTGTACCTGTTAAATACGTCACGTATCAAGAACGTCACTTGAAAACCCTGTCTAAAAAATATTTCGAAATATAACGTGGTGTTTGAAACAACGTCTTAGCTACCAGGACAAATGTCGGGCATGCGTACGGGGTGTCGCATGTTGGATAACTTCACTGACTCCAATCAATCATAATGGCTTGTGACGTTGTTGTGACGTTAAACGCTATAGCATTACGTCACAACGTTATAAATCGCCATTGTGAAATCTGGTTATTTTGTTTAACTGTGGGTTTTTTTCAAAATCTTTTACCTTACACAAATAAAAAAAACAACAACTATATGTTCTTTTCTGGGTTAAACGTGTTGTTTTGTTACTAGAATTTTTTAAATCTAGTGTTCTTATCAAATTAAAAACAAAGTTTCCCTCATTTTTGGCAATTTTATGAATGCTGCATCGTTGTCTAAAGAAAGCCGAATCCGACAACAAGACTGACAGACGGATTCGACGCTTATCAGAGATAAGGTTTAATTACCCTTGTACATTTAGTTGAATCAAAACGACATATACCACAAATAGACTAGTCAAGTTAAGCGATAAAGAGGACCAACATAGAAAAAACTAAAAGCAACACCTGATGACGAAGGAATTTCATAAAAAAATAATTTGGACAAAAATAAGGAAATAGTGTTGAATATTTCTCTTGTATGCAAATTAAAACTCGAATCAGTATGATAATGTAAAGACGTAAGTAGGGATCCCTTTTGATAAACACTAAAAGATGCACAGCTGTGAGTAATAGCGAACCTTTTATTTAATGGATATCAAAATTTAGTATGATAGAAGAAGAAATAAATTGTCTTGAAATTATGACTTGGTTTGAAATCCGCTACTTACATTATTACATTTTAAGCAAATATACATGCTCGACAAACGTCATCTCACACAAATGACCTTGGGATTTAACCATAAGTCACAATTTAAATCGTTAATCCAAAAAAAAATACAAGTAGGAGCATGATCTGTAAATTTGGTCTCGCCACCATTCGGACGTTTCTTGACATTGACAATAATTGGACAAACATCTGACGGATTTTCGTGGCAACGTCGCATGTCTTTGTCCGGTTTCCCGTCGGCTCAAGTTACTGGGATCACACATACTGGTCAAGTACGAATTGGTCAGGAAAGGGCATGTATCCAAGGTGCCTGTCTGGGTCGGTGCCACAGTGACCCATATTTTACTGGGTTAAACTCACACCGATTTATGTTAGGATTCTATCTGTGTTTACAGTCATACACTACCAGTGTCGGTAAACAGAGACCCGACACGGTATAGCTATCACCTTTCTTCAGAGAGAGGCCAATACTGTTTGGAATCTTCTTGATCGTCAGCTGATCCCTGCCTCAGGTCAATATACTCTGTACATGTTAAGTGAAAGGAAAACACATCGAATTATTGGAAGCCATATCGAATGAGATTAAAATTCAATTCCCTTGTGATCTCGGTGTCAACTGTAAATCTATCGAGTTTTTCATATATTTATTTCACATCTGCTCCATTGTACGTATTCCTCGTGCTACATGTATGAACATGTTAGCAAAATGAACAAGAAAAAATATATGGAACAGCGTAAATGGCTCATTTAAAATACAAATATGTTATGTGGTGATGTCATTATATCGCGAACCACCTTATCATTATTATGTATCTATACATTATGATCATTTATCATTACATTACAATTATTAATCATCACAGTATGATCGTTTATCAATTTTCAATTTCAACAGATTTCATTGACTTATATATACTAGCGGAAACAAAACCTGTGCATGCCTAAAATGTGTTATACAAATAAATGTGTATTACGTAGAACAACAAGATTTTCAGGGACAATTTATTTGTTATTTAATAACAGTTGCATTCTATTTTCCACGTTATGGAATCAACAAGTTTCGCTCAGGAGTGACGTAAACACAGCAGGGGTCAATACTGAGTTCACAAATTTTATACCTCGTATGTCCACCGTTTGCCCGAATGCAAGCCTGGCAACGTCGACGCATGGAGCCTATCAGACGGTTCAAGAATGCTTGTGGGATGGCATTCCAGATCTGTACCAACGCTCAACCAAATCAGTCAACGTCACCGGTTGATTAGGTAATGCCCTTAATCTGCGCTTCATTTCATCCTAGACGTGTTCAATGGGCGACAGATCGGGGGATACAGCAGGCCAGAGCAACACGTCAACGTTCTGATGGGCCAGAAAGTCCGTAGCGACACGAACTGTGTGTGACCTGGCGTTGTCCTGCTGTAGCGTAATGTGATGTTGCTGCCCTTGCACGAATGGAACGACGTGGGTCCGGAATATCTCGTCACGGTAACGTAGCGCATTCAAATTCCCGTTAACAACCACCAGAGGCGTTTTCCCGTTGGCTGTGATGCCGCCCTAAATCATAACGCTGCCTCCGCCGAAAGAACGTCGTTGTACCAAACACGCGTCACGGAAACGTTCTCCAACGCGACGATACACTCTGGAACGGCAGTCACTACTATTCAGGTGGACTCGCGACTCGTCCGTTAAAAAATGCCTGCCAAATCCCGTCGAGTAAATCGCAGATGCCTTCTGCACCAGTCCAGACGTGCTAAACGATGACGTGGCAGAAGAACTGAGCGGATTGCAGGACGTCGCGGACGGATAGCTCGTTCACGCAATCGGTTCCGCAAAGTTCTTGGGATTATTGGTAGCAACCCAGGGATTGTCCGTGCAGTCAAACTTGCCGCTTGGAAGCGATTTCTCAAATGGACAAGCCGAATATGGTTGTCCTGTTGACGTGACGTCACACTTGAACGTCCCGCACGAGGTCGATCGCCGACGTGGCCAAACTGTTGATGTCGTCTCCACAAATCCCGGATTGTGTTTCGATGGACATGAAAACGTGTAGAGACAACGGCTTGGCCCATACCAGCTTGAAGCATACAAATAAACTTTCATTGTCGAATTGGATGGCTGGACGGGAAAAACGTGCAAATTGGTCAACGCCTATAGAGAGCAAACTGCACTGGAAAAACTGTCAATAACACACGGATAGTGTGTATGTGTCATACTCGGTCATGTGTGTGAATTTTCATGTATATTCAGTTGGTAATACATGTTCTATAACAATTCTCCTCATGCATAGTTTCTTTTTCCGCTAGTATATGTCATTTGGATTGGACATCAGGCTAGGCCTATTTAAGTCCTTTCCAAACTTACTTACAAACATTACATATATTCTGCCATAACAATCAAGTCATTAAACAGTGCAAGGGAGATAACTCTAATTTAGCTTGTGAAATGAACATTTTTCAACTATTATTCAATCATCTTTTGTTGCTGTTTTGGATATTAACAATTAAATAAATCATGTATGTTTGTTGACAACCCATCCAACATAAAATCCAAAGGATACAGGCCCAAAAGTCCCTGTGTATAAACACATTGGCCATCCACCCACTGGATATATAGGATAAGTTACCAAGAAATAAACATTTTGTAAAATTTCAGAATATGATATGGATTCATATGGGAAAATGTAGTTATTATTATTTATTATTAGAGTTGATTCTCTTAAAATTAAGTTAACAAAGCGCTATAGAATATTCATGTAACTATGAAATAGTTAGAACAGGTTATAGAGTAGTACACTCATAGATTCCATCGAGTCCAATCGAATACCAGAGATGTTGTGAAGATAGATATACACCAGTATCAATACTATAAATAATAGTATCACTTTCAATGTAAAGTTTAGCTGTAAGTGAGATTACATATCAAGTCTATTAGTTTGACAAATATAGTCAGATATATTTTGTAAAATGGATATG